TACTTGCAAATTACTGAAAAGGAAATATAAAATAATGGTATATGGATCAATAATAAAACCTCTCCTCAATTATTGTCCAACAATTTTCTTCATAATGAATGATAGCCAAATTTATAAATTGCAGAAACAACAGAACCAAGCAATGAGATTCATTCTTCGAAAACGATATGACACGCCCATTAGAGACATGTTATCAGCCCTTGGTTGGCTAAGTGTGAAACAACAGCACTTTTATTATACGATGAAATTTGTTAAAAACATTATTGAAGATAATTTACCAGAATACCTAAAGATTAACTTAAAGTATGGCAGCAATGTACACAATAAAGATACACGTAAGAAAAATGACTTCAATTTACCCATGTTAAAAAGCGAATCTGATAAATGTAATCGTTATTACAAGGGTCTTAAAAGTTATAATGAATTACCAAATACTGCCAAGCAATGTAAAAACATCAATGAGTTTAAAAGAAAGTTGTTTGAATTTTGTAAATCTATCCCAATATAATGTAATGTATTACTTTATATCTGTTTTCCGTTTACTATTGTTCCGCAATTTCAACTTGTAATTGCCATGTATGAATGCCCTTCCAAATGATTTTATTAGGCTTAAGCAATGTAATATTAAATAACTAGGTTAAGTCTACATATATTGTAATGAACTAGGCTCAAGAGAGCTGTAATAAATAAATAATAATAATAATAATAATAATCACGATGACAATGCAATTTAAAATATAAACGAATTCCCCATATGGTCCAGGGGTCTTGATTCAAAGGTGGCCAAAAAATAGTAAGATTTATGGCTAACAGAGCGTAATTTGCCAAAGAACGTAAAACCACTATAAAATTGTTAAACCTGCCGGCGCGCCGCGGCGGTAGTGTAGCAAAGCTATTTGTGGCAAATTCGAGATATCAACCTAGTCTAGATATGAACCTCGTTGTAGGAAGTAGAGGACTCCAGATGTCGCCCCGCCAGAAGTTAAATATTACGCCTAAATATATGCCATTTACATATGCTACAGCGGAAATGGACGACACGCCATTTCTTTAAATGAAATTAACTGCTGCTATATGTACATATGTACGTTTATACAAAACGTAAACAAACATTTTGCTTGCATAGTCTTCTGTTCTCTTTCATTGCAAGTTGAATTATTTTAATATCTATTGCAAAATTTTGTACATAAAATAAAATAACACTTTTTAATATACAACGCTTATATAAATGGACTAAAAATTAGAAAATAAAATAATGTAAAGAAAATGTTTTTTAAAAACAAGCTTTTATTTAACATGTACAATCGCAGGAATAAAATAAAGTAGTGTAACAAAAGATTTTTTAGCAAGAATATTTTGTCAGAACTGCACTAAAATGAATAAAATAAAATAAGTTAAGGTTTCGTTAAAGTTACTAAAAGCCATTTAGGGAAATGAGTTATTCAAACTCTAATGAAAATTACTAACAATTTGTACTAATTTACTTCGTTTTTAAAAAAGCTTGTCGGCGAATTCAGCGTACATGCATAATTGGTTAGGTATGTATATGTATGTATGCAGATATGTAAATGCCGGTTTGCTATTCGCGCGACAAGCTTTTTTAAAAACGAAGTAAATTAGTACAAATTGTTAGTAATTTTCATTCGAGTTTGAATAACTCCTTTCACTAAATGGCTTTTAGTAACTTTAACGAGACCTTAACTTATTTTATTTTATTCATTTTAGTGCAGTTCTGACAAAATTTTCTTGCTAAAAAATCTTTTGTTACACTACTTTATTTTATTCCTGTGATTGTACATGTTAAATAAAAGCTTGTTTTTAAAAAAACATTATTTTATTATTGTTGTAAACTATAACAAGCTGGTTGCTTTTGGATATAATTCATAGACGTATACTTGAAGCCTCAAACAAATTTTAAATCAATTTGTTGAATAACTTTTGAGCTATAGATGTTTTAATTAAAAAAAAAAAATGAAAACAAGTGAATTTTTTATGTAATTTTTAAGAGGTGAAAAATTAATTATGTCATAAGTTTTGAAGTACACCATTAACTGGTTTGCAATTTTATGTGCAATCAGTACTTATGTGTACACTTCATATCGATGGCTGAGTGGAAGATCGACCTATCTCGGCAGCCAGTTCGAAAACGCCCTATCTCAGAAAACTTTTCAACAACGCTTTATCTCAGAAAACTTTTCAAGAACGCCCTACTTCAGAATTTGATCGAAAAACGCCCTATCTTAGATGCCGATTCAAAAAAGCCCTATCTCAGCTTATTTTCAATGTATTTTCGTTTGAGATAGGGCGTTTTTGAACCGAATTCTGAGTTAGGGTGGTTTTCAATAATATTCTGAAATAGGGCGTTTTTCAATCAAATTCTTAAGTAGGGCGTTCTTGAAAAGTTTTCTGAGATAGGGCGTTTTCGAACTGGCTACCGAGGTAGGTCGATCTTCCACTGCTTTAAAAAATAACTAAATGGCAATTAACAAAAGGTTTGTAACTCTACATTTTACAATTTTCAAAATTTTCCGTTTATCGCGTATAGTTTTTAAAGCATTTTATTTAAAAAACTGCAAGTTATCCGAATTTCGGCGAGCCTAAAATATTGACCAAACATTGTCATCTTTCACACAGATTGTTTTTAGAGCATAATGAACCATATTTTTGCTTCTTTTTGGTTGTTTGTGCTTCCGACAGGATAGGAGCATGATGTATTGTGGAACGATTTTCCGTCATCCCTTGTCAAATTTGGTTTGGAGACAAACCGGTTTCGGCGTTGTGCCATCTTCAGTGTCATTTTTCGTTCTTAAGGGTTCGTGTTTCCTTCCGCTTTTTATGTATTCGTGTTACTATCTGTTTTAACTGTCATTACTTAGGTCATGCATACCCATCTAAGTGCGACCGCTTTTGTTTCATTATCTCACAGGTAGGTGCTTTTTGGTTGCTTGTATTCGCCGGCGGGTAGAAATCCGTTATTTTTATTTTCTTGGTTTTCGTGATTGCGTCGGTTTATGTTCCGTTATTTAGCAGGTATTAGGTTGCTTGCTTGTGCCGGCAGATAGAAATCCGTTATTTTCATTTTCTTGGTTTCTGCGGCGTGGGTATGTATCCTCGCGTTGGCGTTTTTTCCAGGGGTCTTCTCATATTTTTCGTACAGCATCTTGAGTGGTTCAAATATTACATCGGATACGGTGTTTGTTTGTTCGTTTATAATTCTCCTTTGAAATGTTTTCTGCTTGTATATCTCCATGTTTTCCAATATGTTCAAACGCCGTCCTTTATGCTGTACGTGGAGGAGTTTGGCTGCCTTATTAATTTTCATTGGTGTACATTTATTTTCGATCATATCATTAGCGAAGTTTGATTCTGGTGTGACGCTTGGTTTTTGTGTCCTCTTATTGTAGTCTCTTATATGTTCTCGCAATCATTTTTTAATCTTACGGCCAGTTTGCCCTATGTAGCTACATTTGTTGAATTTTTAGAAAACCTTGGCCACTTTGTATGTCATTTTACCCGTGTACCAGAACCCGTGTACCGACAAGGGATGACGGAAAATCATTCCACAATACATCATATTTTTGCTATTACCAATAAAATTTCTAGAAAAGCGGATTTTCGGTCCACGCTAAGATACAAGTATAAATTTACCCCGCAGAAACTTCCAAACTTTATCTAAAAATCAAATGTTATTTTGCTATCTGAATTTATCTTATTTCATCAACTTTTTTGCCAGCCAAGACAAGATACAAATTATTACAAACTATTTCTTAATGAAACAAGACTTTTGTCAGCTGTTTTTCTAATTGCGATGTGCATAACATGCCAATGGAAATGATATTTTAATTGATTTTACGATCAAATGTGCTGTACAGTATCGATACGTTGCTTGAATCCAATATCATTTATTAAATTTGCTATAAATTTTCTATTTTCAAATCGATTTGCAAAAGATTTGGATCTATATACTTTGAAGTTAAATAAGCTTTAATATACCATAAAAATAAGAACAAAAGGCTTTTAGGTGTAATTCACAGTAGAATAACGATGCGACTTTAAATTGTGTCCGATTTCACCCATAAATTTGCAGATGCCTCTTAAAACTGATAATTTGGTTGCAAAACATTGCGAAGCAAGTTCATAGGTATTTCGAAGACCTCTAATCTGGTGGAGAGCTTTTTGCGGTGTGATAATCAGAACCGGATATTTTTCGAAAAAATTGAAAATGCAAAAAAATTGAAAATTAAAAAAAACGATAATTTCGCAAGTTCTAAAAACCTATTCTACTTTTTTTTATTTTTGACGTCATATTCAGATTCTGTGAGTTATTTTACATAGCGAGTGACTATAAAATTCATGATTTTCAACTATTTTGTTAAAAACTTTTTTCCCTAATTGCATATGTTTTATGTAAATTTTCAAATGCAACGCGCAAGTACTTAGAGTAATCATATTCGAATAAAATTTTGCACAGCTTACTTTTAGACTAAAAGACATCTTTTTCTGCCCGGCAAACTGTATATTTGAAAAAAATTTTAAATAACGAACGGTCTACTGTACACATCGTCGCCTGGGTAAAAGATTGTCGTAAGCGCCATTTTAACGATTTTTAGTTCTGGATGCAGTTATATATTTTGAAATAATGTCTTTCGATTGGTGTTATCAGTTTTTAGATATCTCCTTTAGTTTCCGAGATATTGACTGCAAATTTTTCGATAATTTAGTAAAAATTTAGTTGGTGATGCAGTCACATTAAACTAATCAATATCTTAAAAATGGCGTTAATTTGGTAGAAATTTTTATAACATTTTGTCGTATTTCATACAATATGTCTGCCAAATTCTGGCCAAATGACGCCTACGACAAAATTTGACTAAAGAAAATCCTTCATAAACTCAAAACTAATTAAAAAATAAATAATTTGAGAATTTTGTGAACTAGTAACATTTTCAGAGACTTTGGAGAAAATCTATCTTCGCGTTTTTGAGAATTTGCATTCCAAACTTCAATCGCGATTTCCCACAACCTGCTGAAATTAACATACCGACAATCTTTTACCCAGGCGACGACATGTTCAAAGATATTTGAACACACGAACTGCAGGTAAAACATCGTTATCGACGTGCTCGACTCCATAACATATATTGTTATATAGTATAATATCTAATCAAGGGTAAAATCTTGAAAATAATATAAGCATTTTATTTATGTTTTCAGATAACTCACTAATTTAGGAAGAAATTTCTTCGTAGTCTGTTGGAAATACATCTAGTGTGGACTTGAACAAATCAATATCTGAAAGAATAACTGGTATTTGATTTCAATTAAAAATTCTGATTTTCGTTCAAAAACAACTTTAAACAATGGTAGACTATTATAAAATTCTCGACATATCGAGAAATGCGACGGAAAGCGAAGTTAAAAAAGCGTAAGTTGTTATTAATTTATTTACATATTGCAATCCCCCACTGGGAAAATAGGTAAACACCTTATAGTAGGGGAGCCCACGATGCTAAATCGGGATTTACTCGAGCGTCATTTTGACCTATTGGATTTCGAAGATGATGATGATGAAGAAAAAAAGGTCATGTGATGTTTTTCCATCCAGCGATGGGTAGAGGACCTACAGGCTTCCAAAACTGTAAAAAAAAACAAAAAAAAACAGTTACATGGATTTACTCGAGCGCGTCAGATATCAACAGTGAATAAATCAAACGTGTTTCTGATGACGGGAATATGCTAATCTGCCGGTTTGCATGGTGGGGTTTGGCGTACGGAAGGGTCAAAGATGGGTAACAAAAAAATTTACTCGAGCGCGTCAGATATTCACAAGTGATATTAAATGCGCCCGAATGAACCTCCCATTCAATAATGTGACGATTCAGATGTGACGCAAGCTCCTGGCTCTTCTTGAAGATGCAAAAAAAATCGCCATTTGGATTTACTCGAGCGCGCCAGATTTTCATACAGAAGGTTCATCTCGATGCCCTTGCCGTCCTGTTCCATAATCTGACGATTATCTGGAGGGGTTTTCTTAATCTGACGGTTTAAAAAAAACAATTTCGTTTCTGAGATGCACAGTCAACCAAACATATATTATTGTAAACCATATAAAGCATCGTTCACTCAAAATCGGTACGCGTTCCAGCAATTTCTGTACAGCAATTGTTGGAATGTATTAAAAAGTTGCAATGCAGATCGTTAGACAATAGATCTACCATTATGAGGTTTAAATTTCATAGTATTTATTTGACAGTTTTATTCGCTTTGGAAGTTGCTGCTGAAAAAATAATGTTGAACAAATTCGTTGAAAATCCGAATTTTCGACATCAAAAATCAAATTAAAATTAAATATACCAAAAACTTATAATTATCCTCCAAAAATCAATGAATAGATTCCTTCTGCTTAAACTAACGGGGTGAGCTAATCATTAAAAGACATCATTTCGCACCAGCTTAAGGATAAGGCTCTTTACCTGAATTAGGAAAAAAACGGCTTATCAGAAGAAGATCGTGCGAGAGAATTGGAAAACGGTTATCCTCAGTTCAGCGAATGCAAGCTATGGCAAGACTTAAACCTTATTGAGTTATAATATATAAAACTCTGTTAGATTAAATAAATTTTATAACAAAAACCGCTCCGTTTACATTACCCCAATGTTCGCACTAAATGTGGTATTTAATAATAATGACTAATAAAACATGTTTAAAACTGGACTCCGGTCAACTCCCACGTTAAAAGTTTTAAGCTTAAAAGAAATAGGGTGATATCCTCTTACAACTAAATCTATAGAAGTTGACACAGTTGTCAAAAGGCTATGCAATGACAGAATCGAGCCAGTCTCATTAAAACTCGATCAGACTTCACAATGGGTCATATGACCCCAGAAATATGGAAGGAGCGCTTGTACAAAGTGTTATTTCATTATATCATTTACTTTGGACCTTTGGTAAAGTGTTGGTGGGTTTTTATGAAAACTAATTATTCACAGGTAACTTTAAATCGGTTTGAAGCCAATGATGTGAATTAAGTTCTGGAAGTTATCAATTTTCGAATATGACCTATTTAAGTCAAATCGAAAAATACATGGTATTTATTTAAAACAAAATTAGTAAAGATGTGCGAGCCGTGGAAAAACATAAACTAAAGATAGTTTAGTAGAGCAAGTTGACAAATTGAGGACCTCCGTTAGGTACGCTACCCCCGCAAGGACCCAAATTTTTCAGCATAAGCATGCATATTCCGTCGGGACCCATGGATTTGGAGGCTTTCGCCTTCCCGATGGCCACCTGAACTTCACCGCAAGTGAAAGCAAGGGGGCACAGTTTGTTGGCCGTTTGTGCAGCCTTCTGGTCACTCGACGCTTGGCTTTGTCCACCGGAGGATGCAGTATGAACAGGCGGCTAAAATAGCTCGCGCATCGCTCCGGGTCCGACGAAGCATGGTCGCTGAAGGAAATTTCGACTCTGTCGTCGTGCTTCGTCGGATTGGACAGTGACCTCACGGTTGACCAAAGCTTGCTCACACCAGAGGTGAAGTTACAGGTCTTCAGATGCTCCTCCCACTTCTTCCGCTTATGTACGTTTACTAGTTGCCGAATCTCCGCGTTGAGATCCCTGATACGGGGATCTCCGGGATCGGCCTGACGTAGGCTATCACGCTCATCGGCTAGAACAGCCGCTTCGGCAGGGAAGTTTGGACGTGGGTCCGTTATACATCCTGCCGGTATCAAGCGAGCTGCAGCAGTAGTGACAGCCCTGCGGAACTTACGTTCACCGAGATGGACTTGGCCGTCAATTTCTTCTATGCTTTCTAACCGATTTGAGAAATAAAAAACCGATTTGAAATCAAATTCGAGTCAATTCACTTTTGAAATTCAGAGCGTATTGAAATTTGTTTTATGCATCCGCTTTGAATCACAGCGAACTGGGTCAAAGCGCTTAATGTGTCGTATAAACAACTAGCAGACCCGGCGAACTTCGTCCCGCCCAAAATTTTTATATATATTTTATTGAAACTTTTTGGTCCAACATTTTCACCAACAATTCACGTTTACGATTTTCATTGGCACATTTGTCTGCTAAGATTAAGGTTTGGTGGTCATTTGCCGCTTTAAATAACCTAAGGAAAGTGTTATATCCGTTCTTGAAATTCTCCAGTTGTGCGGCATTTCATAGCACGGTTATTGGCAAAGCGAAATAAATTTTTTCCTCTTCACTCTCTGGCGGCAACAATGACCCGGTTCTATAGTGAATTTCCTAGAAGCTTTACAGTATAGTAGGTGGCAATTTCAAAATGGGTGCGAATCATTGTTCTACAGAAATGCAATATACATATACTTATTTCAGACGAAATACCTTAAAAGTTTGAACGCATAATAATATTGGAAAATCACATCCATTGGGCCAATTGCAGGAGCGTTCAATATACTCAATGGTGCAACAGGCCGATTTAGTCTGACCTTCACGGCCCCTTTTCTCACTTGGCTATTTTTAGTAATAGCTCGACTTCAGCACCACTTGGCAGCACGTTTTTGCAATAGTATTGCATACATATTTAAAACATTAGCCAAATCA